TTGTCATCTGCATATACCAACTGCAAGTGAGCTCCTTATTTACAGACCTGGATTTAGGCAAGCTAGAAACAGCGTTAGGGCACAACTGATGCTCATTACAAGAAAACAGGATAGTTGGTGGGCTCTTTTTTTGCAGTTTGCAAAGGCTCAGAAAGTGGTTTTTTCCTTAGATGTGCAATTGGTTGAAAGTATTCTGGGATTGACTTTTGTCCCCCCTTCCGTTAGCATCAGAAAGCTAGAAGTTTGAGGTAGATTTAGTGAACCACCCTTTCGTACACTTGTTGCTCAGAATTGACTTTCTCCCCAAACACAGTGGCATTTAGGATCAGGGGCTTTTGCTTTCGTCAGCAGGACACTGGCAGAGACCTGTCAGAAGTGTGCTGACATATGTCACTTCATTGCTTTTAGTCCTTTGAGTGTGGGCTTTTAGCTTCCTGATGATTGACATGCTTCGGTTTAATTTAAATTGTTGGGCTCAGCACAAATTACTGTGTGGGAATGGAAGTATCTGTGGCAGGCAGGAAGTCAGATAAGGGGAACTGCTCTCCTTAAACACCATAAAAATAATTACTCAGGTTCAGCATCTTCATCAGGTGGCCTATTCTCCAGTGCCAGCGGTTCCTATAGGGATAATAGTTGGTAATGCTGGGAAAGGCAAGAGAATTGTACCATCCGCCATGACAGTTTTTTAACTTTTCCTTCCTTACAAAGTGTCATTGATCTGCAGTAGTGAAACACAGCTGAACCTTGAAATTTTGTTTGCAAAAGTAATGAATGTTTGAGGAAACAGAAGAAAAGAGAAAGGTGTGTGTGTTTTTCAACAACTGGAAGTAAGCCAAAGTTGTTACTTTGTGAAAATAGTAGGGTTTTATGTAAATAACTTAGCTAGAATGTAAATAACTAACGTGGGAATTGGGACAAAAGAGCTGCCTATAGGGGACCAAAGAGCAAGTACCCACCACTTAAGTCAAGTATGTTGGATAGCCTGTCACTTCAGCTGCATTTCCTGGAAAAGAATGTACTCGGGAGCAGCACAGGGAGGAGTTAAAGTTCGTACACTTTTCATGACATGTTCCTCTGAAACATCAATTTAAATAAGGAATACTTGTAAATATCCCTCCCCAAAAGATGTTTTTCATTCCTGCCTTTTGTGACTTTTTTTGTTAACAAAGTTTTCTCCACCCTCTATGTCTCTTTGATTGGCTGATGACATTAGAGAAGGGTATTGCCTCCTTTTCTCTTTATGTCTGAGGGGAAGAGGTAGGGTTGTGTCAAGGCAGACACTTGTAGTAAAAGAGTGTTTTCTGTTTGAACAAATGAGTTGAATGAAGCCGTGTGAGAAGTGCTGTGACATTTACATGATATGCCAATGACTCTTACTTTGCCATCAACATAGAATTGTAACACTCATTCATGGAAAAAAGAATAGGGAGTTTGTGAAGGAGAGCAGTTTCTGTGGTACCTAGGCACAGTAATTTCACTGAACCTGGTTGTGTGAGCTACAGTCTGGTTTCTGTAAAAGCAAATCTCAAGGTTGGGCTTCTGTCAGATTCTCCCGTATCTTGAGCTCTGTCCGCAGCCTGTGCCCACTTGTATGCAGATGGCTTCTGGAATCACAAAAGGTTGAGGAACTCAATGTCTGAAGATGTCAGTCCTGTGTAAGACTGGCTGATTGGAAATTCCTGTGTTGAGTTACAGGAAAAAGAGTAGGTGCAGTGTAAGTGCAGCTGCATAACTCCAGTGTCAGGGGGAGGGAAGGTGGGGTGGAGTTAATCTAGGGGTTTTTTTAATCTTCTTGAACCCCTTTGGAGACTTGGTGGTGCTAGCAGCAGAGAAAGGGTAGAGTGGAGGACACTTTGGTCACAGCAGTTAGAGAATTTCAGTTTGCTTTGCTCTGGCCCTCTGTGAGCACAGAGGGTGCATATGAGGTTATAAACACTGCATGTAGAAACATACAAAGTGAGAGCATCATTCTCATGAGAGTATACCTGTTTGGAAGGTAAAATACCTCCGTTTCAGGGTCATTTATATCTGGCTTTGGTCTACTCAGAGGGGCAGTTGCCATGTATCTGAGCAGAATCTTGAAAGCACCTAAATCTGAAGGTTGATTGGTTTGGGGGTTTTTTTGAAGGTCTTGGGATGATTGACTGGTGCTAGGGAGGCTTCTGGCGATAGTGTTCCTGCTGTAATACGTGAACTGTGTCTGTGAGAGCCATTTGAACTTTTCCACATTCCCTTTAAATAGAGCTCACAGCCTGTGGTTATGCAGTGGATTAATAGTAACAGCAGTGGGCTAACAGAGGATTAAAACTGTCTTAGCATATGAGAACATCCAAAGACTTATGGGATTGTATGTAAATAGTAAATATGTTTCTATGGTGTTTATCTTCCGTTCTGCTTGTGACTGCTGGGCTGTTTTCAGAATTTTTGTTCTTGGGTGCCATGAGGTTAATGGTATTTTCAGAGAGGCAGTTATGCGAAGAAGTTTTGTGTGGGATCTACACAGCCTTAAAATATTTCTATGGTGTGTTTTGTTGGCAAGGTTTTGTAACAGTGGGGAGTTTCATGCTTTGCAGAGTGAAAAGAGGCAAGCTGGTTACACTCTGTGCTAGAGCAGCTCTGTTTCATCACGGATTAATTTGTCTCACCTTTTTTCCTGCATGGATTTGGTAGGGTAGGGAAAGGATTATGAAAGGAAATACGGTAATGTAGTTCAAACTACACTGGAAGTTCAGAAATACCCTGAAGCATTTACTCCAGGCTGTAGTGTTTAGTTCAAGCTATTGAAGTGAAGGAAGGCATTATTAAGTTACAATCAGCCACAAACAGAAAATCACTTAGTGCCTTCAAGGGATAAGGGACAGATGGATAAGTGATTTTAAAGCACATGGGGCAAGGGTATTTTACTAGATCTGTCTAGTAAGTAATAAGGTGATAAAAAAATTAAAATTACTTTTGTTCATAGGTTAAGACAACTCATACTAAATAATTTTGATATCTGTGACCAAGCATGCACAAAGGTCATCAAGGCTTTCTCTTTTCTCATACAATTATATGAACTATTGGGCTCATATAAGATCTGTTGTAAGTTAAGAGCATATTCTTTTACATAATCTGCAATTCTATTTCTTCCAAAATAAGTTTGCAGCTTTTTGTTTGTAGTGCCATCATAATGACACAAACCAAAACTGTACAGACTTTCAGTGTTAGATAACTCCTTTTACATTTGTACAAGCTTGTTTCATCTAGATATTGGAATGGAAGAGGGAAAACTCAAAATCCTCTGTGGATATACAGAGTATTTTAAGACTTGCTGTCGAATCACATAAATACATCCAGTTGCTCTGTTTTTATGAATTGCATTAAATAAACTGTCCTAAGGGACTACCAAATTGTAACTTGTTTATACTGGTTTTTCATTTATTGCAATTCTTTGTAGGTATAAAAATAGGGAAATATAATAAGGATATTCCACAGGAGTGCATCATATCTTCTGTAATGTGCATAGCTTAAAAGTTTTAGCTTATGATGTAGTCATTATTTTGGAAATATTAAATTCCTCTTGTGAACCAAATAATTGCAGTATAGTTGGCTGATGACTAGGAGAATGTATGTAGCTAAAATACTGCCTTTAACTGGGTTTTCGCATCTTATTTTTCCTCTCAAAATTTGCAGTTGGTGTCTTTTCAACTAATACATCTTTTGTGTTAGTTTATAGATTGTATAATATGTATTCTGTATACTCAGGATATTTCCAAGATGTTCTTCCTCAACATGGTCCTCCCCAAATTAAAAAAAAAACACCAACAAACCAACTTTTGGTCTTTTCCTGTACTTCAGGAGGATTTGCTTTTCCAGTGTGTGCACAGGCAGTTCTTCTCCCTTGAAGTTAACCTGCATTTGCTGTTTATCTCCTCTTAAGATTGGGTTTTCTCATCTTGGTTCAGCATCATTATTTCCATAAAAGCCAATCATACTGCATGCTTAGAGATGATGCTTTGAGAAACAGTTTGCAAGCTCGCCTGCAAATACATCCTAGTATAAAACAAGAAGGAAAAAGGGAAACTAAAGGAGTGCACAGAATTCATTCTAAGTTTATTAAGAAGGTTGCTCTGTGTGTTTCTGATGGGTTCTGACAATTCCAGTCTGGAATCAGTTACTGAGGTGCCCGTTGCTCCTCAGAGAGTACAGCACACCTCACAGGGCTCTGATTTGGGCAGTGGCTGAGACCTGGCTTGTATTTCCCCTGCAGTCATGCTAGTTCAAATGCAGTCATGATTTAAATAGTGATATAATTTGTGATATAATTAAATAGTGAAGTAATAGTGATACTGTTTCTGCTGTACACTGGCCAAGTGATTGCTGTAAGAGGTTAATTCTGGCTTAGTATGCAGTACGGTATTTTACCGCGGGGGTATAGTACATCTTATATAAAGCAGTTGTTTGAGAAAACTGTAATCAAAGCAAAAACAAAGACTTTCCTGGAAAGCTGTGTTGACTGTCTTATATAATGACTTTTTGTTCCCCTGGATTTAGAAATTTTTTAAACCTGTGTCAAAAGCAGAGAGCAGCTAAAGAGAAACCCAAGGAAAATGAAGGTGTGAGGGGTTTTTGTTTTCATTCTGTTTTCCCTATACTTTTTCGTGTTTACACTTCTGGCCCTATGAACAAATGACAACTAAAGCCTCCCACAGAATTGATAAAGTTTTCAAATCTACAAGATTTGCTTATTATTGCCAATTGAGTGGTGGTTCTCTGGGATATACTAAAGTGAAAGTTACATGGGAACTGTAGTTTAATAGCTCATAACCTGGTGAGATTCCAGTTCTAGTGGTAAACTAGAGTAGTTGCTGTCTGACTCGGATGGGAAAATGCGCACAATAACGTATACCCAGGACAGTCAAATAGCACTGTTACAGTATTCTTCAGTGTAAGTCTTAAGATCTGTGTCTTTTTAATCTCTGTTCCATTCCTTTTCAAACAAAATCTGTGTATTACAGGCAAAAGCAGCAAATTAACAATTTACATCAGAAGATAAGGGAGAATGAATTACGAGCTCAACATGCAAGACTGAGCCATCTTGTGAACTGCGAAGAACCTTACATGACTAATTTGCAGGTAGGATGGATATTTTTCTTTCAGCAAAGCTTTTCATTGCCCGGTAACTGACACCTAAAATCATGTTCACAACTTAGTGCAGGCCAAAATATGGAGGTTTTTTGATTATTGATGGTTATGTAATTGTGCAGCCATAAATTGTATGGAGGAGAATACTCCCGAGTGTTGTAGTTTACCTTACATTTGCAGAAGTCTAAGTTACATTAACATTTTGTATATACTTGTTTAGAAATCTGATAAAAATGGGGTAAGAATGAGGGATTGTGACACTGTACAGATAAGGGTTTAACAGGGGCATGTAGCACAGTTACACAGGGTGGTATTAGGCAATAAAGTAGTTTGATAGGAGGATTATCTGAAAGCAATTGGTGAAAAGTTTTCTGAAGAGGAGGAGTTACTATCCAAAGGAGTGGTTAGGCTGTATCAATAGACTAGATGGAAGTCTAGTGAGAAGCTTGTGAGAAGGCAGACAAACTGGTGGAATAACTTTGCAGAAGATGCCTAAAATTAATATGGATTAGTACTTCTAGGGAACACTTACTCTGAAAGGGAATGTGTGGTGGTGTTTTGGGAATACCTGTCCTGTTTTTTATCTAACTAGCACAAATAACAGAAAGTGTAAAGCATTTTTCATGGTTAGCATAGGCTAATCATGAAATGCAGATTTTAGGGCTTGTTGTGGCTGCTACCCTGTTTTAGTACACACTTCCCATCTCCAGACCTTAACATATCTAAAAGGCAGCGCAAAAAGAGAAAGTTGGAGGCAGGTATGCAGAGAAATATCTTTTTGTCCCCCTTTTGTTACTGTATCTTTTTCTGTCAAAAACGCTGCACCAGGATCTCAGCTAGCATACTTCAGCGTGACATTAATTATGTCCTTGGAGTAGCACAGCTGTGCATCAGGTGAGAATCTGGTTTGTGTGAGACAGGAGGGAAATTCCAGTGAAGCCTCAGTGTGAATTTAGGTACCTAGAAACTTTTTTAGTTATATAGGAATGTGGCTTTTGGTGCTTTCAGAAGTCCTTTTTTTATAAAATGCGTCAAAATTCTGTCAAGATAAAGGTTTATGGAAGGGGAAAAAAAATACTGCAGAAACTGAAATTTTAGTTTACATATCTTAGTATACTGTAGTAGACTTCAAATAAGCAGCAGATACATTCATCTTTCATAATTCAAAGAGTTCAAAAGTTTATAATTAATAGGATTTCTGTTTGGTTTGTGTGTCTTCTATAAGATTAGCTTACAAATGCAAATCTCCTTTAATGGAGGTTTTAATCTCTTTTAATGCTTTGCTGAAGGAATTTTACTAGTTAAAAATACTGTCTATAACTTCTTTAAAGATACCAATTTATGTTACTTAAAGAATCTTGAGACTGAAGGCCTAACGGGATGCATCTCCCTTTTTATCCTACATACAGCTGATTTCCGTTTTGTCCTCGTCTGTCTGTGGGCAGTGGAGGTGGAAGAGTAATTTTGAACTTTGTGAAATGGAAAGGGAGGAGGGGTTTGGTATACAGGGCAGAAGGTAGGAGGCCTGCCTTCTCATAGCTGTAGCCTCAGGTTTGTCCCTGCACCATTCTGCACCTCAGATGTGATAGCTCTAGGGTTTGACTAGTATTAATGTTCCGCTTCTGAAAGATCTTGAGATTGGAGTATCTTTAATATATTCATAGCCATTTTATAGAGTGTTTTTCTTCCTAGGGTATGGTATGATAATGCAATGGCAGTGATTTGTTTTGAAAACACTTTTTGTTTGGTTTTTCAAGGGGTTCATTTTGAAAAAGTTACATCTGTTCCAGAAATCTGAGTAGGAACGTGGCCCCACACTGTTCATTTCCATGTGTTGTGAATGTAAATGTGTCCAGATTCTTTTTCTTTTTTTTTTTCATAATTTTTGCTCCAGATCCCTGAAATACATGCTCTTACCATGTGTTTCAATGTTTGAAAATCTAACCCCACCCTTCCTGGCAGTGGGGAAAAAAATGCAGGACTGTGTTCTGCTGTGCTGCTCAATTACACGGTAATATGTGCATGTTCATTTGTATGATTATTTTCTTTATTTTCGTAAGCAACCACAGTATGAGAGCGCACCGCTGCAGCCTCATGTTTCAGAAAGATCAGCATCCTACCTTGAGGAGCTTGAGCGAAAGTTTGTAGCATCTGGAAATACGGAGTTACAACTCAGTGAATTTATAAAAGTAATTTCAAACAAATCCAGTGAGGACAAAAAGAAGATGGAGGAGAAAGTAAGTGTCTTTCATGTTCCAAATTTCCTTTTGTTAGAACACTGTTAAAGCAGTGTATGTTTTGTTTTGCCAGAAAGCAACTTAGTGTGTGCATTGCTGGGCTATTTTCAAATGGTAGATAAACTACCTGTGATCAAAAAATCGATAGATGGTGATTTTAAGTGTTGGCAATGGATAAATCTGAGCTTGTAGTTAATGCATTCCAAAAAGTGATACAAGATGAAATAGCAATCGTGACTGTTTTAACCAGTTAAACTTGCCTTGAAGGAAAGCTGCGCAGCTCTAAGAATTCATGTAGCTTGAAGTATAATTACAGTAAATATTGTTTAAAAACAGGAAGTATGAAAATAAAATCCCTATTTTTAACATGATTTGTAGATGTGGCTCTCATGATTTGAGATGCACTTACCAGCCTTTAGGTGCCTACTCAGCAAGAGCGATTCCGTTGTAGCTTTGCTAGGATGTGCAAAGTAGTCTTTAGTCTCATAGAAGGAAGGGACTTAGATAGCTGTGTTCTTAGAACTCTCTTGACAAGGGGATTTTTTTGGAGGCTGAAGCAATATCCAGTGGAAGTTCTGAATGTCTGACAACATGCCTTTATTGCGAGCAAGAATATACTATTGACCAAGTGGTTCCATTAAGTGGTCTAGGGATATGTTGTCACTGTTACTCTCTCTTCTTTCATCACTGGGCCTTACTACTGGGCTTGTATTTATATTAATGTAGGTGCCAGGGGTAGGAGCAACAAAGTGGCATCTAATGCACAGCAGCTTGTGTATGGAGGAGGAAGTTAAAACAAACAAAACAACAAAATCCAAAGCTTGTTTTCCCCTCAGCAGTCAGCAAGAGTGAACAGCAAGGAAAAAAAAAAAAAGGCAACAAATTTTTTTCATCTCAGCAGAAGGTAAAAAGTGTTCTAGGGGTGATGCTGGGGATTTAGAGGGGGTGGGAGGAATCCAGGGCAAACATGGTAGCTATTAGAAGGAGAGAGGTTGCAGGTAAGGAAATTCCCTATGCTGTGTATGCAGGACAAGAAGATTTGGAAACCATGTAATCTTTGTCACACGAGTACTGGAGTATTCTGACTGGTCAGCTTGTCATCCTTAGTGGTATGTGAGAAACAGAAAAGATTCACTTAGCTAACTGTCAGACTCCTGGCGATTCTGGCCGTGCAACACTGGCTTACATGTGTGTATTTATATCACTGCCTTAATTCCAGTTTTGAGGTCTTGATAAAATAAAAGACATAGATTCCCAGCCTTTTGGCAGTCCTGAGTTTTGTGCCCCACCTAGAAGGCTAACTCTGGAAAAAGATTCCACGTATTACTGAGTTAAACTTTTAGGCTCTGTTAGTGAGCTCTGACATTGACAGTGTCATACATTTGTTTCCCAGTGAGATGGATGTCTGAAGCACTGAAATAAAAGTACATTTAGCATTTACTACAGTGACAAGTGTTTGTTATCTGTGAATTACTACACCTTAGTCAAGCAATAAAGATACTGTTTCTCGTTAAATTCCATTATGACTGGAAAATATTCTTCCCTGCCTTCCACTTTTTTGACTTAGGTAATAAAGCAAAGTAAGTACCAGGAATGCAGGCAAAGATAACACAATATAAAAAAAACCGTTTGCAGGCTGGTGGACAGTTAAGATTTACATAGAAACGGTGTTAAAAAAGCCACTGTTCTGATGTCCTCTGATGTAGTTGTCAGACTGCATCAAAGTCAGGTTTTTGGCTCCAGTTCTTGTTGGGTGAGGTTCTTGGTCTCTGTCTTTTGTTTTCCTAGCCAGAGGAAGAGGATGGACTAAAATATTTCCTGACCATTTGTTGCATATGAACGTCTCCATTGGTGGAAAAATTAAGAATATCTTTAATTATCGAATTGTGTTTTCAGTTCACGAGGCAGGTGGAGTGCTCTGGAGAGAAGTGAAGCAACTGTGATTTGAGGTTACATGTGCGTCTGTGACTTGGAGCTGCCGGGATTAATCGTTGTTTGGTTTTGTTTTCTGTAGTAACCAACCCTTTCATGCAGCTGAGAATACAATTCTTGAAGAATTACCAGCCTCTGCTTCCAAAGCGTGTTTATGTTTCACTGTAATCGTAAAACATGTACTCTTCCTATCTTCTAGCTTAAAACTAGAGACCGATACATTAATAGCCTGAAAAAAAAATGCCAGAAGGAGTCTGAGCAAAACAAAGAAAAACAGAGACGGATTGAAACCTTAGAAAAATACCTGGCGGACCTGCCAACGCTGGATGATATAGAAGGGCAGACTAAACAGGTAAAGGGATTTTGGTTTACTTTTTAAAAATACGATTAAGCTGCCTAGTATCTGTTGGCAAACATTTACTTTTTTAACATATTTTTCCCTCTGTTTAGGAAGAGAGGTATTTCAGTGTTTTAGAAAGCACTTGTAGCTACTAGGGTTTCTCATGATCAGAAATGGGCCTAAGATTATACAGAAGGTAACTGCAAGGCTGTGGCCTGCTGTAAGGCCTTCTGCAAATATAGCATCATGTCTAACTAATGTAACCTATGTTAGCTGCAAATTCTAGAAGAGAAGAACAAGCAACTTCAAGAAACAATGACTGAGTTAGAAAAGAAGCTTGGAGAGGCCCGATCGCAGTGCAGAGAGAGAGAATTGCAACTGGTGTGTCAGAAGAAAAAAGAAAAAGAGCTGGTCACAACAGTACAGAGGTATGAACAGCCACTTGGGCTGTGCCTGGAAACAAATGAACTTTCCTACCTGATGTCCAGACCCGATGTTATTTGCACTCTTAATCTATTACAATGCTAGTGATTTTTCAGGTATACCTATACGTAATGACAGTGTAACTTGTAAAAAATTCAACAAGATTTTTATTTGTGTCAAGTTGCAAGTAACACCACAGAGAAAAGCCTGACAAAGACACTCTTCACTACCTTTCTTTAAAGATGTGGAACACCACTGCAATGGCATCCCTGCTGTCAGATAAAGGATGGAATAACCATGTGCAGCAAAGGGGCATTGCATAGGAGCTGTCAGCACTCCTATTTGATAACTAATCCTGTCACCAGTTGTGGAAAAGCTCCCTGGAAATAGCTGACAGGTGTATCAGGGAAGGGTCAAAGATTTAAACTGTAGCTGTTTCTTACCTTTTCACTGAGGATGGGGGTGTTTACAGGGAGAATCAGATGTAGCTGATCTTCTGCCATTGAACTTCCATAACTGAAAAAAGAAATGGGACAGATATCCGTGAGAAGATTCCAGGTGAGGCATGGAGACATTTTAGATCAGGGGAGCTACTTAAACACTAACGCTTTTGGAGGGTGAAGGGGGAAGAAGGAGAGAGTCACTTTTAGTAATTTATGTGTGTGTTACTACAGTTCACCCTCCCTCCATTGGTTAAAGGTGCATGCCACAGGAGACTGAAAGTGTTTCCATGATGAAAGGAAAGCTGGTTGGGACACCTTGCCAGCCAAATTGTTGACACATTGTTTCCCTCTTACCAATGAAAAGCCTTTTTTCTTCATGCCCTCATAATCTAGAGGAGGATCATTTTGACTTTTCTGAAAGCCAGCAAATAGCTGAGATGGCCTCTGGTTTCTAAATTAAACAGCAAGATAAACACTTATAAAATGTATTTCCTTTCTGAGACAAGGTGAGCAGGCAAAGGCTCTAGCTACACCTAAGGAGCTTGAGTTAAACTGCAGAGGGTCAGAAGATTATGCTCCCATGTGTGGGAGCAGCTGGTGAGAGCAGCCAGCTCTTAATGCTCCCTCTTAGAAGTCACAGGGGGCTTGAAGCATAGGCCACCAGTAATCAGTGCAATATCTCATTCTGGACTCCAGTTTGAGTTGTGTCTGCCCCTTTAAGAGAGTCTGATTTTAAAGCACCTGTAAGTTTGGGAGGTTTGAAGATGCCATTGATCTATGCTGGTGCTGTCTTGCCTCCCAAAGTAGTGCAGAGCAGCTGTGAAAACCACAAAGTTTCTTTGCTTCTGTCTGCCTTCTCTCCCTACACTGAACTGCTGGAGCTGTGCCTTTTGTGAGGTTTAGCACAAAATCTGGCCCATAAAACCTTTCCTGCATGAATCTATTCCTGACAGCGCCACAGACACTTCAGTAGTTCAGGATTTTTCAATCATTCATCCACTGTTGGTTTGCTCTTTGTAAGTCTGGATTCTGCTAGGTGCGGTTTAACAATTCTGGTAGAAGATGGTGCAACTGTCTTAATTTTTCCCTAGAACACACAGCTCTCCTCGTTTCTGTCAGCACACTTAATCTTTCTTTCATGTTGAATGACAGCTTACAACAAAAAGTAGAAAAATGCCTGGAAGATGGTATTCGCCTTCCCATGTTGGACACAAAACAGCTTCAGAGTGAGAATGAATGTCTCAAAGAAAAGAATGAGAAAGCCAGTAAGGTTAGTCTGCAAGTAATCAGTTGTTGGCATCTTTAACCTTGAGTTCTTCATGTCTTTATTTTATATATTTTTTTCTTTAGAAATAATTTTTTCACTAAAGAATTACACATCTGTTGCTAATTCAGATTTCAGTATCTGTCTGTTTCTGTTCACTGCGTTTATTTTGCATGAATTTCCTGTTCTGACAGAGTTAAACTCTCCTGTCATTTACATTTTCAAATATTCCATTAAAATCTGTGGCTACACACCTGTAAGCTGATTAAACAAACAAACAAACAAAAAAAAAGAAGTATTTAGAGATTCCAGCCTTTTACATTACTCACTTTTATATTCTAGGTCATAGACAATCAACAAAATCAGATCGCTGGACTGATTTTAGACATGCAGGTAAGGAACAGTGTATATTCTGTTGTTTACTCTTGTACATTTTCAGTTTGTAAAGATAACATTACTGAAGTGTGAATTTCACCAAATATCTTCCCAAATAGGAGGCAAAGGTAGAAATTCCAAGAACTTAATCTTATGGCCTGTAATTGACATGAGTTTTCTTACAGGCTCATAATGTGGTGGGCACTGATGTTTGTATGGTTTAGTACTTCTGGTGCTCATGATAAAGTGAAAAACTATGTAGTATCCTTATTCTGCTGGTCTAGTGGTTGTTGTATCAGAGCTGCCTGTTTCAAGTGTGAGGACTGCCTCTGTAAGTAACAGTAAAACCTCTTATCCAGCTTTGCAGTTCAGATGATATCCAAAGTATAAAAGATGATATTGATTAGAAGCTTCACTGTTGAGACCCGTGGTAGAGACAGGTACCTTTCTAAACTGTACCACTTTGCATTACACATCATTTAAGAAAGTCCCTGGTCCAACTGGTTTCTGACACATCACTCACTCAGATATCTTAACTCTCTTGGCGGATCTTGGGCACCTAGCTTGGAGCCAAGGATTTTTCAAAACAGCAGAGGTTGTCAGCTAGGAGTCAGTTGCAGCTCTGTGGATCAGATTAACACCTTGGGCTCCTGAGACTTCAATGTTACTTAGTGACCAGTGTTTGTTGTGGAGAAAAGGAAACATTATACAGGTTATAGCTAAGAAGGTACCACTTGCTTTTGAAAAAGCTGAGCATTTAAAACACCAAGCATCTGTTTTCAGCCAATACTGAAGCCAAATTCAGTAAACCGTTTTCTGCATACTTCTAGATTGGCATTTGTCTCCACACTTTTTGCTTCCTTGCCCTCCAGAGGGACTGAATTTACAGGGCTGTCCCTTGAGAAAGAAGAAGGTGATTCTGCTTTGGCTCTGTGTAGATTAGCTTTGGAAGAACAGCAAAATGGTAGTAAACAACCAGCTGAATGCCTGCTCCTTCCAAATTGGAAAGGAGCATTCTGTGGAGCTAGTATCCAAATGATAAAGATACCCAAAACAGCTTTGCATAACAGTCACTAAGAATGTGCTTTCTTGTTTGCACACTACAGCCAAGTTTGCTTATTTGTAGCTGCTGAAATTAAGTTACCTTCTACAATTAAATTGCTTCCGTTCTCTACCATGCAGGCAAATAGCAGGCCTGATTCCTGTCGACAATCATATTTTTGTTTGATGAAATTAATGTATTAAATACATTTGTAGAGAAGTAGTAGGGGAATTTAAGTTGTAGCATAACATACACCAGTTAACTGAAAAGCAAAATCGATCATTTAAGATTCTTTAGGTTTGAAGAATACAATTTATCAAACTGATGTTTTCATGGAGAAACCTGTTACATGCAAAAAATAAGATTATTGACATACATACTATGTGTATATGTTTATTAGAAACATGCTTTTAAGAAATATGCACAACTTGCCTAAATGTATTATCATGAATCTAAATTTTTTCCTAACCTTTCTGATCCTTTTCTAACCATCACCTTCATCTTGAGACTAATGATCTTTGTGCACATTTATACAGTTGGCTGTTTTGCGTGCTTAGTCTGAAGTGACTTTGGGAAGCTGAGAGTAGGAAATGCTGAATAGTTGTGACAGTCTGTGACTAGTGTTCTGTTCCCCAGAACTTTTACTTTTCTGAGGTATTTTGTATAAGGACAGAAAATAAGATTTGAAAATGATGTTAGCCCTCAAATTACTTGTAGACTACAGCAGCTTCTTTGTATCCTTGATCTCACTGGCCTTCTATGCTTATTCCTTGGGAAGCATTGAAAATTAGGTCATTAGAAACTGAAATCCTGTATCAGCAGAGAAGTACAATTTATCTTCAGCTCAGATCTCATTTTATTCCCTGTCGTCTTCTGCCACATTATAAACTTTTGCTTGAGAACATTAGTTCACTGTTTTTAACTTGCAAGCTGAAAACAAGTTCTGTTTCAGACAGCAGTGTATGAAGCAATGCTAGTTTCTATTTGCTCATAATTGTGGCTGCATATATAGGACATCTTCAGAAAAAGAAGAATTATAGATTGCAGTGGTGTTTAAAAAAACCTGTATTTACATGATTAATTTCAATATCACAAAATAAACATTTTTTGGTACAAAAGACAGTGGAAATAAGTCAGATTAAATGATGTCTGTGTTACCCAAAGTACATCTGTCAGTCCTTCAGCCACAATAAACCCAAACTGTGTCAGGCTGGGGGTAACATCACCAAACTATAACTTTGGAAAGCATATGGAAAAATGAAGGGTGAAGTACAAAGGACTCATAATACTATGAGCAACTGGGAAGTCATAGCACTGTGAGTTCAGCCAGGCTGGTAAGCACATACACTTAAAATTAGGGTAGCAGAGAATGATAGATGCTAGGTTATTTAGAAATAAACACTGATTTCCACATCTAATAGTTTCTGATAAATAGTGCAACTCATGAGCTGAGCATGTGCACATAATTTGGAATGCTCTACTTGGTTTTGGGGTAGTTTGCAAGTGATGTAAATTTAATGACAGGTGTAGTTCTGAAAATACACTAGAGGAGGGAATATTTCTGAACCTGTCTTCCCAACTTCAGCCCATCCTCAGGAAGGCTGTGCAGTTAAACCTATAATGTCTGGTGTTGACATGAACATGAAATGTGTAAGTGCTAGTACTAAGACATGGATTGTAACTGGGGCTCTGGGTGTCCCTGAATGTGCTCTTCATCAAAGACTATTAAAAATTTGAGGATACTTGTAATCTGGGAGGGTGTTTTGGGCACTTATGTTGCCCTGTTATCCTTCCTAATCATTCAGTGCCACAGACAGAGCTAGAGGGACCTTCAGTCTGACCCAGTGTGGCCATTTTTCTCAGTAGATAATTTTAAAAATCTAAAGAGGACTGTTCAACACCACTTACAGGTTCTGCTCTTCTGCAAGGACAGCAAAGGAAATGCCTGAAGTAGAGCTACTTCCTGCCTCTCCCTGCCCAGGGTGTTTCCTTTGACGTGGTTCTAGGCCTTCTTTCTTCCTCCCCTTCCTCCTGCTGGAGTGTGAAGCTGTGCTTTCTCACACAGCTTATCTTTAGGATGCACATTATTTCAGCTCTTCCTTTTGAGGGGCGCGGTGTGGATGAACTGAGAAACAGGTCAAATGTTTTTTTTAAAACAAGTAGTTGTTTCTGGCTTCTGCCTGCTGATTCTTATGATTTATATGAAAATAAAGAGGGGGGCTAGTGTGTATTGAGTATATTTTAGCACCGTTGTCGTACTCATTGCAAAACTGGAAAATAAAGTACTTTTTTTTCCTCACTGTTTGTGCAGTGCAGCAGTGAATGCATTGAATGCATTGGGAAATTCTGTCGAGGCTGCACATCTCCCATGAGTGGCAAGGCCATGAAAAACTCTGCTCTGTATTGGCCCTGCCTTGCCTTTTGACAGTTCTATTCTTGCAGCTGGCAAGTCAATTATGTAGCTTCTTATCCACTCTAGGCCACAAACATGGTAAAGGGCAGGCCTGTACGTAGACAATACAGTCTCCAGTACTGGTACCTGAAAGTTCTATTCTTTATAAATCTTGTAAAAACTCCCGCAAGAATAAATTCCACATATTTTCCAAAGCTAAATAGTTTTCCTAAGACCCCCCAAACCAGCATTCATTGACAAAGTTTGTTGTAGTTCTGTCAAGAGGGAAGCTTGGATTTTTTTCTGTCTTCGATTAAAGTTACAGAGTCATGGTGCAGTAATTTAAACATACTTTTTACTAAAGAGTTACTTTGACCTTTCTATAGCATTTTATTTAAGCTACCATCTAGAATTCCCCATGGGAGAGCTGTCTGCTTTGGAAGAACTTTTAGGATTATTCCTACAGATATTCAAGGGAAAAAAAAAAAAAAAAACAACTAAAAAACATTCTTCTGGGACAGTGTCATTCCGTAAATTGGTTTATGAAATGATCCTTTTCCTCCCCTCATTGTTTATCTGAGCTCAGAATTGGGCCCAAATAATTCAGACACAAGGCTTCAACAAGCACATTAACCCAAGCAGTGCCACATACAGTGTTTCATACATCATTAGCAAAACATCAAGCATCTGACATACAGTCAGCACAGACACTGCAAACAAATTGTGCCCTTCCCATTTTAATTTTAACAAAAGGCTTCAAAAAGTCTTTACACTTCTGTGCAAATTGCCTGCCCTTTGTGCGCCAGCATCCTCACTGGGGTGCTGATAGACTACTCAGGGCACATACAGTCAACAAGATCTGCTTTTCACTACTCTGATTAAGTAAGTAATGTTCACTTTCCAAGAATCCCCCACAGAGCAGCAGCATTCCAATGTGCCCAGCTGTAAAACCAGTAATGACTGGATTTTGAGAGAATTTGAAAACTTTCATCAAACACTTATTTCTGTTTTTCAACCTATATTCAAAAGATACTTTGGCATTGTTATGTGATTTCTGATGGGGATACAGTAAATTCATCACGTTAAACTGAAATGTTTCTGTTAGATGTCTACTCTGCCAGCAATCAAACTATGTGTACAGTAACATGTGACAACCACAGTGCTACTTCTACTTGTAAAAATTACACGTATAATATTTATTAATGCTAACTGGGAGCATAATTATGCAGTATATATTTTTCTTTTATTATTAGAGATTTTTTATTGCAAGAAGTTGTTTCAGTATATTACATGGAATTAAACCTTTAAAAATTTAGTCTTGAGTCAAAAGTTGTTATTCTTAGAAAGAAAATAAACAAATGCATTCACTAATAGAATCATAGAATCATAGAATAGTTAGGGTTGGAAAGGACCTTAAGATCATCAAGTTCCAACCCCCCTGCCATGGGCAGGGACACCTCACACTAAACCATATCACCCAACGCCTCGTCCAGCCTGGCCTTGAGCACTGCCAGGGATGGAGCATTCACAACCTCCCTGGGCAACCCATTCCAGTGCCTCACCACCCTCATAGGAAAGAATTTCCTCCCTATATCCAATCTAAACTTCCCCTGTTTAAGTTTGAACCCATTACCCCTTGTCCTATCACTACAGTCCCTAATGAAGAGTCCAACCCCAGCATCCCTATAGGCCCCCTTCAGATGCCGGAAGGCTGCTATGAGGTCTCCATGCAGCCTTCTCTTCTCCAGGCTGAACAGCCCCAACTTTCTCAGCTTATCTTCATACGGGAGGTGCTCCAGTCCCCTGATCATCCTCATGGCCCTTCTCTGGACTTGTTCCAACAGTTCCATATCATGTTTTCTTTCTCAACCCCTCAAACTTTTTTTTCTTAGCCAATATCAAATTATCTTTTTCAGTCATCCTGAAGGCTACTCTGGAACAATGGATTTAGAAAGCTATTTGGTGGGGAAAACCCATAATCATTAAAAGGGAATACCATCACTTTTTCTAGAGCAAACATTAGAAAACAGGAGACAAAGAAGTAGCAATTATTTTGAAAGCAATTTAATTTATTCCTATTTACAGAAGTCAAGCTTATATCACACAAACCAAGTTGTTTCATGAGCAGAATTAATTTTTATTTGTGTGATTTCAGCCTCTCAGCTTGATTCCCTTGCTTTTAATAAAATGGGAACTTCATTCAGTAAGACTTCAGTAAGACTTACATTTCCAGTAAGTCTCCCTTCTGTGGATTCTCTGACAGCTTATATCTCCCTTCTGTGGATTCTCTGACAGCTTATAAGACCTGAGAAAATTCTGCAAGTGCCCCCTCAGTGAGGTAAGAATAGCCTCATTCTCCTTTGTTAGGTTTTTCTTTTTTAAATTTTTTCTCATTTTTCTCATGGCATAAATGGGAACAACAGGTCTAAAAGTTATCAGCAGGGAATAAAATGGATAAGCACACGTGCAAGTATATACATCACAGTGGATTATTAAGCCCTTTGCTCTCTGGAAAACAGTCTACGAAGGGGAAAACTCATGTCTGTCATTGGAGAAACCCACGCATGTCTCACAATACAGTCTAACAAACTACTTATGATTTCCACAGGGGTCACTTTTC